AGAAGCCCTGAAGGAGCTTATTCCAGGAGCTCCGCACTAACGCACCTTGCTAAGGCGGAGGTTGGTACGGGGTGTGGGTACTGACAGCCTATGTTAAAAAGGTTAAAGAAGACATTTTCCATTTTTCACAGAATCACAGAATGACAGAATTTCTAGGTTGGAAGAGACCTCAAGATCATCGAGTCCAACCTCTGACCTAACACTAACAGTCCCCACTAAACCATGTCCCTAAGCTCTACATCTAAACGTCTTTTAAAGACTTCCAGGGATGGTGACTCCACCACCTCCCTGGGCAGCCCGTTCCAGTGCCTCACAACCCTTTCAGTAAAGAAATTCTTCCTAAGATCCAACCTAAACCTCCCCTGGCACAACTTTAGCCCATTCCCCCTCATCCTGTCACCAGGCACAAGGGAGAACAGACCAACCCCCACCTCTCTACAGCCTCCTTTAAGGTACCTATCCCTCCTGTTCCTCCAGTGTTCGCTTTGAAGAATGAAGATGAGATTCCTTGGGTCAACATTTTTCATACACTTACAGTGCAGGAACACACCTCAGAAAAACCCTGTGGCCTAAAACCAGGGACATAATTAGGTCTTCCTCTCTGTAGTTCATGTTCTTGTGTGAAATTCCGACTATAACTTCTGAGTAAAAGCAAGACGTCGGAGAGAGCTTTCCTTTTACAACACTTTTACTGGGAGCCGAGCCCGCCTGCCCCGCAGCAGGCAGAAAGGATTTGGTGAAGGATGCGCAGCTTTGCCCAGGCTTCAGGGACTCACACTGGAGACATGAAGTGGAAAACTGGAAAATGAGGTGGCAAAAAGTGCGTGTTTTTACCTAAATACGCAGCAGTCGGACAGTCAGTCACACGGCAAGGAGGCGTGTGCTGCACCGGGTCAAAGGGGAAGAGCCCAGTGGGGGATTACAGGGGGATAACCGCAGGCAAGCAGCACAAGTTTGATAAGGGAGCTGCTGGCAATATGCAGCAGAGGTAGGAAACTACAAGGAACAGAAATGAGAATAAAATGCAAATAGAAGAGATCCTTCGATCCGTCTGGCTTTCTCCCGGTATAACAGGATTATTTTGTCACCCCTGTACTTCGTTTCCCTTCCGCTTTCATCTCGCTTTCCTCTGGTGACTTCCCAGTTCCTCTGCCCCGACACCACACCGGGGGCTGGCTCGAAATGCGAAACACCTCCCGTGAGGGACTGCACTTCTCATTTTACCGCCGATTTTGGGAAGCAGCAGAAGAGGTGGTGGAGGGAGGAGCTCTGAAAGTCCCCCCGCGTAGCGAGCCACATGGCTTGGTCAGCCCCAAATGCCCAGACTCCTGGCCACCATTCTGGGTGAAATCATAAACATTTAGAGAAAAGAAAACCCGAGAAAGGAGTAGCCTGGGAACTGAGCCTGGGAGCGGGGTTTTCAGAATGTTTTTTGGGAAATTTCTGATTTTTACCAAAGCCAAGGAAGTAAGAACCATTTCCCTTTCTCCCTCCATCCCTTACTCCGTATCCTCTTTGCTTTCGCGGGTCAAGAGGTCCATGCCCAGAAGGAAGGAACCCGGCCCTTTCTAAACAGGACATCATCTGAGTCCCCTCACAGAGACCTCGGCTCTTCAGCACTTCAAAAAGCCGGGTCGGTCCCGGCTCAAAGCTCGGGCTAAAAGTGGCGACGTGAGTCACCGCCTTGCTGGTTTCGTACCTCAAGCATGAGGGGAAAAACCAGCAGTGCTCTTCCTGGCGACACCGAAACGAATTTGGCACCGCCCCTGGGGGAGAGGCAGAGCACCCTTTGTACTCAGTGCTTGCAGTGCATGGCCAGCTCACCCCAATTTCCCCATCCTCGCCTGCTGTTGACTCTCCCCGGGTCTTTTTGGCGGCTGCAGCTTCGCGGCGGGCCACGCGGGGTCAGCACTGGATCAGTTTGCAGCTCCGGAGAGGGGTCCCCAGCTCCTCCCTGGCGTCCCTGCACGGCTTTAACCTCTTCTCTGCTAAAAACCGGCTGCCTTCTAGTTATTTTTCCTCCTTTTCCCCCCTCATTTTCTCATTTTTAAAAGAGTTTGGGGAAATCGGTCTCTAAAACAATTTTATGTATAAAATATAAATATACATTATTATTCTACGTTACATGCTGCTTATGACATTATGACACAAAGCTAAGCATTCTGCAAAGCTCCCAGCTCAGAAGCCTGGGAGGGAAAGGTCAGTCTGCTTTAGCCAAACAGGGGCTGCTCACATGCTACTCAAAAATACTGAAGGTGGAGTTTGGTGGATCACTGATCTGCAGTCGGATTTAGGCACCTGGATCTATGCCATAAGGTTGGTTAAAAACAAGCCTGGTAGTTTAAGCCAGACCTTGGCAGTGTTTCCTCCCTTTCTCCCTGTCCATAAGGGGTTTGTTTTGTTTTATTTTATTGTTGTTGTATTTTGTTCTACAGCTTGGCAAAAAGAACCAAGGGCTTGCTTCAGAGCAGGACGCGATACTACAGAGGCAAAGCTAAACCAAAGGGTGATGAGAAATTTGCTCATCATTTGTCTTGCCTCAAAACAAACGTGTTTGAAAGTTCTTCTTCTCCTTCCTCAACAATTATAAGTGAAAAAAAATAAATTAAATTAAAAAAAAAATCATTTATTCATGTTGGTATCATCTGGGGATAAAGCAGGAAAGTGTAACTGAGGAAGGTGCAAGTTCCCTCTCTCCCTCTCCCCCTCTGTTCCAAGGCTAAATTTAGAACATAAATCTTAGCATAATGTTTACTTTTTATTTTGCTAGCCAAAAGGAAAAATGTAGCTTGGTCTTCAAACCAATCAGGCTGTTTTTATAACCTAAATATTTGTCTTGGCACCGTAAAAAAGAGTGGGTGGGAGGGGGAGAAAAAAGTTGGCAGCTTGAGCAAATGAAATAGAAAATAATGCGTCCAATTAAGGGGCACCACAATGATATTGCCATTCCTTAGGTAGCACTTTCGTTGCTGAAAGGTTGTTTCCAGTGTTACAGGTTCCCAGCAGGAACAAAGAAGCAAGGTTATAACGCAATGATTCTCTAACACCACATTTGGAGAGTAGGTCTCAAAGGTGCTGGTATTAAAATAAAAAAAAAAAAAAAAAAAAGATGATGGCAACACTGTAAGTATAAAATGCATGGGATATTTCAAGAAAAAAATGTTTTCTTGCAGTGAAGAGTATTTGAAGCCCAAATTTGAACTTAGTGAACTATTTTATCTAAAGAAACGAGGGTCCCTTCCAACTCAGGATATTCTATGATTCTATGATTCTATGTTAGAGGAAGTTACTGATGCCTGCAGAGAAGGTTTCATTCTGGCTCAGAGTTTCTAAAGGAAGGACACGAGGGCACGAACTATTTTCTAACCCAAATGCACATAAGGCAGTCACTTCTGAAAGCTGTTTGGAATTAATTCAAAATGGGACAGAGCCTGTGCAAAGGGGAGAGGAGGGAGTGTAGGTATTCAGCTCTGCATTAAACTGAAACCCTTTTCCTTTAATGCTTCTGCTTTGTACAGTCCTTAAACCACGCTCTTTGCACAAAGCTAACTGCAGTGGTCGGCACGCCTGCCTTTAGAAACACCACTCACAGCAGAGATTGTTGCCTTTTAGGGTGGCATTTAATTAGTGGGATTTAGTCTGAAATACCAATGAAACACTTCCTTGCTGATTATGGCTTCACAATCTCTTCCTTTTGTTATCTAGATGAGTCAGCTGTAGGACCACCTGGTGGCAGGTCCCTACTGACACAGCTTTGGGTACCACCCGGCAGGAGGGGGTCTCTGAAGGCGAGACTCCTCCAACAGAAGCACCAAGGAGCTCCTCTCACTGCAGCAGTGCCTGCTACCTCTGCCGGGCTTGGAGATCTTCCTGAGGAGAGATGGACGGCTGTTGGTGCATGTGTGTGGTGAGGAGGTGTTGCTGGAAGGGAGAAAAATAAGAACAGAAGAGTGATTAAACCGCTCATTAAATTTAATAGCCCTGCTATTTATATTGGAGTTGGCTTTGCAGCAGAGGGTAGGAATGCATTAGCCAAAGGAAAATCTAAATATGACCTAACAAAGCGAAGGGAGTTGAGAATTTGGACAGAAACAGTATTAATTTTTACTTTTATTTTTTTTAATCCCCACAAACTACTCGCTGTTTCGGGAATGTCTCTCCAACTTGTGAGTTCAAAGCAGTAGCTTCATTAGCTCTCCCGTGAGGAAGGCTTATTCTGCTCAGACTGATCCCTGTCTATCAGGAGCGCTCCTTCACGTGCACAGGGAAGGAAGTCGGTCCCGTTTGTAATGAAGTCTGTGCAAAGGCTGCTGTGGACTTGGGCAGGTTCTCGGTTATGTGCTAGCACTCGTGGCTGTGAAAGAACTGAGTTTCACACAAACAAGTTGCAAAGTAGTACATACGGGTTTTATTACATGAATAATTGGACATACTCCTTGGTAATTGGTTACAAGTGCATTTCATTAATGTTCTGTGGACATCATAACAGTCGGAATATCTCAGCTGAACAGTCAGTATTTGGCTGAATTCAAGCCAGTGCAATTCATGACATAACCATAAACAGGAAATTACAGGTCTACAATGAGGTTAGACTAGATAGAGAGCAACAGCATATTTATTGTCACATCAAAGCGTTACAAAGTATGAAAGCCCAATATTTCAACTATCTCTAAAATGGTATTTGTACAAACCTGTTGTATTTACCTAAATGTAAGGATTCGTCACATGGGCAATGCATCATGTCTTTCTCTATTCTGGGGAGTCGTTTCAGTATTCAAAACCGTTTGGGGCCACGAGAAGAAATGTAAACATCTGATGGTCCTTTGAAAGTCCATTCTGAGAAAATACATCGTGTGCCACAGGAAAAGTGCATCCTAACTGGGGTGTCTGCTATGGCCAGTTCGACTCTCAGATTCACATAGCACCAGGTATTTATCCATTTCTGCAGTAAAAAGTTAGAAAATCTTTGTATTAACTCAGAAAAAAACAAAGTCAAAAGGTTTTTTTTCTTCTTCTTCTTCTTCTTTCTTTAGAGGAACAGCAATTAAATAAAAAACCCCACCCAACATTTAAACAGTTGCCTCTTATGTACAAAGGAACCAAAAGCTAGCAAAGCGCATAGCCAGAGAACAGTCTTTATTTATTTATTTACTCTCCTCAGGTTCACGCACCTGAATATCTGAGTTTATGTACAGGTGGACAGCTGCCCACAGCAGTAATAATCAGAATACTTCTATTTGGCTAAAAGTCGTATAAAAAAAGACAAAACACTTTTTTTTATTTTTTCTTCAAATACTTTCCAAATATATATATATATATATACTAAAAGTATTCAGTATTTATTTCCATTAGTGCCAGAGTTGGAAGCTCGTTCTCGTTTTAAAAAGTTATCTTGGTGACGGCCTGGCCGCCACGCTCAGAGCTTGGCTTTGAGGGACGGCCGCGGGAGCTGTGCCAGACCCAGGGGGTTGCAGGTTGCAGAGAAATGCAGTCGGGTCTTTCTTGTTGCTCCTCCAGGCCACGTCCCGGACACGGCGTCTCCCAGCTCCGAGGAGCCCCCCGTACCGCACCGAGCACCCCTACAGCATGACCCCCCAGGGCAGCCCCTCTGCTGATGGCCACGGGCACACCTACTGCAGGTATTTCGGCAGATAGCCCATGAAGACCTGGCCTCAAGCATTTTTTTTTTCACATCACTGTGTTCTGTGGATCACGTTGTAGGGGCCCTGGTAAGGAACATGCTTTTCTGTTAGGCAACATACAAAGAGCACTGCGTTTTTTTAAGGATGGCATTTGAACAACAAAACAAAATGAAAACCCAAATCCTCCAAGGTACTGTAAGTATGCTTTATGCAAACAGCACGGTCAGGTAGCTCGATAAATTGGGAAACATAATTTCCACTCTAATTCTTGTAAAGAATATAAAATTACGGGCCGTAGCCCACCAAATACAAACACATACTGTAAAAATATTTTTCAATTAAGCATAACGTAGATGAGTGCACATATCTGGGTAGGAAGAAATACCACTGCCTTCACACCAGCAGCAAATATTTGAATAGGTTGCATATAAACAAAACCTTTCTTTGTTGATCAGTCCAGGCTTGCTTTACTCTAAAGCAAGGGTGTTCCTTGTGTATCTTTAATTGTTTTTGGGTCTTTCTTCCTTGAAGATAAACCGTTAAGAACACACTTCATTCATTGATCCTATTGGGCTGATGCACATCACAGCAACAACCCCAAATACAAGTATTAATGCACGCGGTACCTTTCCCTTCATTTAATTACCTCAGCTACAAGAACAAGACAACCCTGCTCATCTGTCCACGGCCTTCCAACAGCGGGTACATTCAGACCGAGCCCCGATCCTTCTCTCTTGCACACCCCAAGCCCTGAGGCCCTGGCGGTGCTCAGGGTGAAGGCCCGAGTGCCGCTCCCACCTCTCGCCTTGCCAAAGCTCGGAAGCACATCAGGCAGGACCAAGTGCTAATGGGGGCGGGGGCGCCGCCAGCTCCTGCAGCTTGGGAGCCACTCACCTAGAGGAAAAGGTTGGAAAGGAGCCAACGTGAGATAGGGGATATAGCCCTGTGAGGTGCATAGCTGGTGTGTGTACATTCATTCGCACAGGTCTAAGGGAGCGTCCTCGCTAGGTGGGTCCATCACCGTCTGCTCTCAGCAGGAATGCAACCTGACAAAGCTACGGGACAGCAATGAAGCACACGTCTTGTGATTAATGGCAACGCCATGGCATTTCCCACAGAAAGAAGCAGCTTCTTCTTGCTTTTTTGAGATAACTTGAAGTAGGTTTCCCTTCAAAGCCTCCTGTTTCTTCAAAAAATGTGTAACATTACCATGGATTTTGAGAGATTCCAGCTCACTGGTGGCCATCTGAGCACCAGCGTTGATAAACCTGCCCTGAGGCTTATCAGCAATTACAAGCCCTGACAGACAAGCGAGCAGGCCAACAGAAACCTGGATTTAAAGACGGCAATGAGCTAGATTAAAAAGTGATTCTTTTAAAATGCTGAAATTCTCGTTCAGTAACTAGTAGTGCTTTCATGCTTTTTTTTTTTTTTTGGCAATAGCTGAGCTAATATTTTGAAAACTCTACAAGTTTGCTCGCGGCTTTTCTTTCAGTCACCACTTTGGAACCTGGCTGCTTCCCGGGAGGAGCATCTGTTGTCCTGAGCGTCCCTGAACACAACAGTGATGTACCAGGCAGGATGGGCTTCAAAACAAGCAGAAAACCTGGGTTTAAATGATTGCTTTTAATCTTGTTTTCTATTTCTATTTTATTTTTTTATTTATTTATTTATTTATTTTTTCTGAAGAAAATTTGCTTTCTCATTTACTAAAGCACAGTGATGTGCAACAGAATATAACTCCAACAAAACTTAGCAAATTTTACTAGTCAGGATGTTCCAAAAATATTTAATTCAGAAATGCTGCAACATTGTTCATGATTCTTCATGCTCTTGTTTTCTCACATTCTTAATTTTTACTTTAGGAAAAACTGGTCCATGCACTTACAAGATGGCTTAGATTCTTCTCTGCAATTTTTAGTCAACCATACCTAAGCAAATTGCACAGAAAGCTTCTTTAAAACTAGAAAAAATGTAGCTATCAGGATTTTCAAGGAGAAGAGTAAAATTATTAAAAACACGTTTGGCAATCAAAGTGAAGAAACGCTGCCTGTAGCTAGTGAACTGATAATTCACAGAGAAATTAAAAACCAAAAAAAAAATAAATATTTTTTTCCATACAAATAATGAATATTAAAAGCACAAGAGGATGAGGGCTCTTTCTGGCCTCCTTCTAAAACCCAGTGACTAGAAACAAAGAATTAATTTCCTGAATTGCTCCAATAATTTGAGAAGAAACTATTCTTTCTCTGTATTTCAAAACAGTGACTCTGTCAAAAAGCTGGCTTAGTGCATTAACAAACCCAGGAGCTGGTGCTTAGCAAATTAAATAGTTCAGTAGTCTTGCTTTCCAGTTTCAAGTACAAAGCATGTGGTTTTTAGTATTTAAACTCAATTTTCATAGGCTTTTTAGACATTAATACGCACACTGCTAATTTCACAAATGTTTTTAAGAAAAATATCTGAAACGTTTGGGGTGTCACCACTTGCACTACTGACTCCCTGTGTAGCTCAAGTCGATTTGAAGTGCTTTGATTCAGCACACAGGATCCACTCAGATGCAGACACAAAGATTTCAAACACTTTTTTTTTCTTTTTCTAAGAAGCAGTTGTTAGCCATGTCCAAGTGGCTGGCAGTGGATTTACCTCACCTAAATCTGCAGCGCTGCTCACAGGCTGCCCCCAGAGGGCAATCAGATATCAGACTGCCAGTAAGTATCAGCTACATGCAAAAGTCTCTCTCTTTTTAAGCCTTCCTTCAAACACACATAAAAGCACAGAAAGCAGTCGGGCAGCAGAGCTGCTGCTGTGCTGCTGAAGGCCAGCCACTCACCAGCATCCCCTGCTCCTGATTGTCTTCTGTGGGGGAAGCTTGATGGAAAAAGGGCAAGGCGATGTTATATTTGCAACTCAAACAGGGACTGCACCCACGCTGCTGGGCTCAGCAGTCAGCCTCTGCTTGCGCCTGGGGATGCAGACACGGGATATTGGGGTGCCCGAGGTCACACACTCACTGATCAGCCAGGGAGTGGAGAGCCCAGAAGGATTTGCCCAAGGAAGGAGGGAGCAACACGGCCCCTTGTCCCCTTTACTGCTCTGTGCTCCACACACAGTCACCACAGATTTCCCCACTTCTATTTGGCACAAACACCGTTTGGACAAAGTAAAAGAAAAGGGGCCTTTAGTTTTTAAGGGATTCTGCACTGGGGCAGAGGAATTGTCCATTTAAAGCACTGAAACTGGCAGCTAAAAATCCTGAAGCTAACCCACATGCAATGGTATTAGGGCCCTACGTGTGACACCAAGATCAGAAGGAAGACGATTTCTTCGTTAGCACATCTAGGAACAAGAAGATTGTCTATAGGATATTGGTTCCCCAAACTGGGAGGAATAAAGCCAAAAAAAAAAAAAAAAAAACCACAAATGGGAATAACGTTATCAGCCTGGAAGCAGGTCTGTTAGCGTAAGAGCTTGGAGAGCTCCTGATGAAAGCAGGAAAACGCGCGCTCACGTATGGCTTCTGGTGCTCACACACAGCTTCTGGGGAGGTGTCCCTGCCCATGGCAGGGGGTGGAAGTAGCTGATCTCTTAGGGCCCTTCCAACCCACACCATGGCCGTGATGCTGTGATCCAGCGATCCTCTAACTCTGTGGTATATCCTCCTTCTGTGAGTTCAGAGACTGCCCAGCACCCAGGGTTGTGTTAGACTACTGAAAACCTCTCTTTGGTAACTAAGTGAAGCTGATTTCAACTTTTCTGGGAACTCTTCTCATTTCAACTTGGCTTATTAAATGACTTTACACTTCTTTAAACTATTTTTTAAGGCCCATATCAATAAAACTAATGCAGGTTTTGTATCCAAGCAAATCTAGCGCTTTGTCTCCTGCTTATCCATATTCCATTTTAAATCATGCAACCCGCTAATATATTGAATTTACTACATAATAAACCAGTTAACAGCTACAACATCCCTCAGCATTATCATTAAAAGATTTCCAATCTAAATAGTTCATTTGCTACATTTTATGGAACTTGTATTTTCGTCAAAACATCTGAGTGTCACGGTTAATTTCTGGGTAAAACTAGAGTAACAAGGAGTTTCTTGTCTTGGACATCAAACAGACGTGGCCCAACAGGTGAAAAAGTTCATAAAGTGCAGTGCAGAGCACATTAAAGCTCTGTGAAATAGATTTACACCAAGGGAAGGAGGAAATGCGCTGGTTCTAAAAATATTAATGCAGAAAAATATTTTTAAGAAGGAACTTAAATTTACTCTACATTCTCCAAGCTTGGGCCAACCCAAGCTGCTGTGAAGCCGGGTGTTAGGTGAGGTGTAGAGCTCTAAATCTAAAAGAATATTCCCCAAAACCCGTGACTGACAAAGACAACAACACCTGGTTGTTGCTCCTTGTTCCTTGCAAACGCGCTGGTACTGTGGGCGCTGGCGGCTGGTACTGTGTCCGAAATCCCACAGGGAAAGCGATGGAGCAGTGCCCCCTTTGTAACAGCCTGCCAATAAGACACTCAGGAAGGGGAGTTGGGATTTAAGCCTCCCTTAACCTGAGGCTCAAACCCAACACCGGCCTGGTTTCGGGGCTTCTTGCTGGATTCCAGCAGATCCTGGGGAGTTGCCTTTGGCCAGCTCACGGGGCACAGAAGGGAGAGGTGTCCCCGAGGTGCAGCACGGCTCTGGGAGCAGGGAGACCACTGCCTCTGCTTTCTGCTCTGACAGCACCGTGTTTTACTCAGTGACCTTCCACTCTGGAGAAAAAATGTGATGCTTCGAGGGCTCAGCTCGTTACAGCACGTTTTACTCTTAATTGTGTAACAAGACTTTTTATCAAGCTTGTAATTTAAATAAAACGAGCTCCTTTTCCTCTCCTCCTCAGATTAATCAGAAGGAATTCCTGCTAACTGTCTGCATAGCTTGGGAGGGGAAAATGCTTTTTTTGACCTTCAACCTGTGTGAAAGACGATCAGCGCAAAAGGTTGCATCGATGCTGTTTGATTCATTGAATTTGGTGTTTTCTGGTCAATTCATTACACAATCTAGTTTTTAGTAACTTTAGCATCTGAACATATTTGGCTTAGGATGCTTCTGAGAAAAAATTATTCATTTGGGCAAGAAAGCTCCGTCAGCAGGTCAGGTACGCTGTTACAGAAAAGAAATAAAGCCAGGGTTGGCTACTGATGGGTGGCAGAATCCTTCCCTTCTGCATGGAAAATAGTGTGGTGCTTTGGCAGGTGGAATGAATTCGTACCAAAACCAACAGGGATGAGGCCACAGAAGTGGCAGCACACTGCAAAGTAGCATCTGAACGACGATGGTACTGTGAAGTTTACTGTGTGTAACCCCTTACTCTCAAGCCTCTGGCCTCATCACAAGTAAAATGTGCCAAGAGAGAAGTTTCATTCAACTTTGCTTTCCTGAGCTATTTTGTTTCAGGCTGTGCCTCATGGCTCAAGCCTGTTTCAGTAACATCTCCTAATTTCATTTCGTCCTTTGGCCCTTTACTAGAAGAGTCAGAGGGAAACAACTGAACACCCACCTCCTGCTCAACAGCCCGGATCATTTCAACCTGACATTTAAATACAGATACAGATTGTATTTAAATACAGCAATCTTTTTGTACATACCCACTTCCTTGACGAGCTCTCTGCTTAAGAATGAGCAGATCGTTCAGACCATGCAGTGCAATGAAGGAAGAAATCTCTTCCTTTTAAAAATTATTTCCAAAAGAATCTGATTTCAGGCCATCTATTGCTGATTTAGGAAACGTCTTCACAACTAGAATACAAACAGGTAAAGCCCAGTAATAAAATGCAACAGACAGAGCAGAATTTACTCAGAAGTAGGCATTTTTCTGACATCACTGGTGGTTCCAGACTAAACAATTTCTGTAACCAAAGGCAATATTTTTTTGTCACTAATCCAACATGTGTATAGCTTTGTAAAGGTGCTTTGGGTTACTTCTGCCCTGTAAGACAACACACCACTACTCTATGCAATTTACAGGTTTCCCTCTCTTCCTTTTGGTTCTTAGGAAATCCCAAATTCTGTTTCGTAGCTTACAATGAATGGATATAAAATTATACCAACATCATCACTTCAGAGAGGTAATAAGATCCCAGTGCTATAAAAGCTCATTAAAAAAAAGAGAGTGCACATTTTGCAGTGCTGTACATACACACACCGCTTGTTTCCGAAATTTAGCCCTTTGTAAGTATTGCACCTTGCTAATAAGACTACCTTCTATTGTCACTAACAGCACTGATGCTCTTTTAACACTAAAAAATCACACAAAGACAGCATCATCTGTGGCCTAACAGCACAATACCCTCAAGTTTTTAGGTAAGGTTACTTATTTCCTTGCATACTCAGAACTCTGTGCCTCCAGCTCCCCGGAGGAGCAGGGAGCACACAAGGGATACAGGCAGCACGACACACAAAAAATGCTTCTCATGCCTTTTTTTCTGATGTGCTCAAGTAAGTCCCGTTGAGCTTGCTGGCAAATAGACACCTCTATGTATCTAAGAAATGCTTTCACGTGTTAAAATGCACAATTAAATGTTTCTTCTTTCTCATGTTCCCTTTACAACGCAAAAAAATAAAATCCAAGAGTCCACTAAATTCATCTCATCTCCTACACACACAACACGAATCGCGTAAAATCAGAAAAAGATAGATTGTCTTACAAAGTGCATATTTTGCTCAAAGCTGTACAAACATTAGCTCCTTCCACAGCCCGATTTCAGAAAAGTACAAGGCGTGTGCCTGGCTTTAGGAAGGCTAAAGGCTTCCTTGAGCACCTCAGTGGTGCTGAGCCTACTTTTGGGACCAAGCTGCCCCGTCTGTGCAGCCAGCCCTGCCCTGCTCTGCCCTGAGGATCACGGGCAGCCCTGCCACGAGACATTGCCTGGCATCAGTGCCGCAGCTCCTACAGGTGAGTAGCGACACCCAAAGTCCTGACACCGCGTGCGATTCACACGTCTAGGTCCCAATACTGAAGATTTTGGTGTGCATTCTTATTCACTTCAGTGTACGTATTTAAGAATCTGCAGAAAGAAGGTCCTGGACAACAGAAAAAGATAGGAAAAATTATTATGGGCAAAAAAATAATTCTGTATAAATAAGGAAAAAGTTGAGAAATTGCATATCTATTCTTGCAAAACACTGGTTAATATGGATCGGTAGGACCTTGGGGTGACTGAAGCCTTCGCAGATATGGAAGGAGTTTGGTGGTGGCATGGTCTCTTTTAATTTCATGTAGAAATTAGCACCATGCACAGTGGAGTACTCAGGGTTATCATCCTAGTCTCTGATTTTTTGCTTGCTGAAGTCATTTGGTAATTCCATTATAGACAAAGTATGCTTTGACCAAGCAGCTATATGAACGAGAACCCTTTATATTTACAGCAGATTTGGAAAGACTTCTACAAATGTATAGGTTTATACTACATTTAGGTTATGGTTCAAGCTCACTTTCTGTATTTTGTATCAGCTAAAATGTCTGGCTTGTGTTTGGACCTTCATAAGCGTTAGTGCCGAGTGAGCTCACATTCCCCAATTAATGCTTCCTTCCACGCATTAATAATGCATTAATAATTCAAGTAGTGACATATTGCTCTTCAGATTTTGCCTAGAATAGAAAAAAAAAGAAATAAAATTCTTATCCATCTTCTATTCAAATAAAACTACACCTTGCCTTTACAACCCTCCTCTGCTCCCTGAGGAAATCTGCATTACCCTAATCTTTTTTTTTTGTTGTTGTTGTTGTTGTTAGTTTTCCCAAGGCATTTTGTATAAACATTTTAGTGACGTCTGTTTATCTGAACATTACACGTTACATGCTAATGGCTGGAGGGCGAAACACGGTAAGATGAAGAGTGGGAGGTCAATCATACATTTTTGAAGAGGTCTGGTTTCAAATGCGAGGTGGAAAACCTGGCCTTCCCCTTTGGCAAAGGTGGCAAATACATCCAAACGTGTCAGCGTTCCTCCTTGGCAAGGAACTAGATCAAGAATTTTGATTTAGTATGGACACCCTACCCCATTAGTGTAATGTTTTGTGTAGTCCAAGGTAACAGAAAAGCTGAAATAGTGTCTGCCTTGCTAAATTAATTTCTACCAAGGGTAATTTGGATATCTCACGTTTACATTCAAACACTGAAGGAAAAAAAAAATCTTGGCATTAAGACGTGTTAAAAAAGCAAGACCCTAGCTAGTTATTGAATTTACCCATTCCCTCACATTTCGAGTGGATTCTTGCTGTTAGCATAAGCAAGAACAGGAGCAACAAGTAGTTTATTTCACGTGGTGCCATCAGCAGCAGGCCCTGCTTTCAGGGCCTTTTGGGATTGCTACGCAAAACGGCCTGTGTGAAGCCAAAAGCAGACAGGCAGTGCTCTTCACATCGAGCTACAAACTCAGGAATTGAAGATGCAAGGCCTTTGTATCTTGTGTTTGGGCAGCAGTGAGATGGCCGTCCACGCGGAAGCGCTGTAGTCCAAGGTGGAGAAAGGCCTACAAGTGGGCGTTATCAGTTCCAGCTGTGCACTGGCTTTTCTGCAGCCCTGAGGAAGCTTTTCAAGGTCAAGCAGACGCAGCCAAGGGCTGCTTCCACCTAGCAGATACTGAATGTATTCAAACCGTCAGCTTGATTAGCGTCTGCTAATGACTTACTCTCTAATTACGTTGCTAAAGGTGTCATAAAAGCCTCCTGCTCACCCTGGAACCACACCTCCACCATGCTGCTTTGTAACAGCCCCGTTTTCCACCAGCAAAACCCCGACAGCCACAGGATAGACCCAGCACCCTGCCAGGTCCCAGTTCCAGTGCTACCACCTACAGGAAGGTCGATAACGTGTCAGCAGAAGACAAAATGAGACTTCACAAACACTTCCTGATCCAAGTATTTTAAGAAAAGGAGCAGCACAACGCCTCCCTACAGATGACTGGAGTTTATACCGACAGAAACAAGCCTTTCTGGCAACCTGCTCTACGCATGGCCAGCAAGCTTTGCGTGTCTTGCCTTCCTCCTGAGATGGTTTCTCAACGTATGACACAAAGAGAGGATGAAAGAAATGACTTTGTATGCCACACTTTTGGCTGGGCCTGCCTGTCCTGTGATCTGGGACCACTTCAGCTGGTCGCAGCCCGTATCAGACTGTCTTACTGGGTCAGGATGAATGAGAAAACCCAAACGCAGCAACAAGGAATACGTTTGGGCCATGCCGTGGAGCCAGAACCCATTGTTAAGCACAGGTTCCGCAAGAACCTGTTGCTGAAGCTTTGCCTTCCTTTGTGGTCCTACCTCTGTTACCTCACACAAGGAAGGGGAGAAGGAGCAAGGAAAGCAGGTGATGGAGAAGGGCTGCGAGGGATCCACGCATCGTCAGAGAGCCGGTGTTCATGCCAGGCCAACGATGTGGGTAAGGAAACCCAGCAGGAAGGTTTTCTGCTCAGTGTGGTGACACGAGCAGGCCCTGCAGCTCTGGCTCACACAAAAACGGGTACCTGCACGTCGCTTCATGGAAGAGCTTCTGCTCACTTTGCATCCTGTGTATCCTTTCACACTTGTGCAAGGCACTGGAGAATCAGGCACGCTGGGGTGGAAACAAATTTTTAGGAGCAAGATGATCGGAGCTAGCGCTATCCAACAGCTGCTGTTTCCTATAGGATGGGGACATGGGAAACAGCTTTGTTCCAGGAAGAGAAATCCTGATGTATTTGGGAGCTGCTCTGTTGACAGCCACTCTGCTACTGATGCCGACAGTCTCTGTACCCAGCATCACTGGTTGCAAGCGGCTAAAACTAGCAGAATAAATCCTCCCATTTGTGTGTCTTACGGGGAGGTTCGGGCTCTTGCCATCAACGTGCACGTCTCCAGCCACCTGAAGCACACAGACACGGCGTAACGAGCTCTGGCTGCTCCCCCCATCTTTGGGAGGTCAGAGAGAACGACCTACGAACTGCAAAGAAATAGGAAATTGGGGGAATGGCGTGTCCTGACGGCTCTAAACAAGCAAAGCATTCAAGCTAGCCCCTTCCTGGGAAGCAAAGAGATCTAAACTGTTTCTGGAAGGACTGTGCAGAACTCTGACACGAGCCAGGCATTTGCAGGCCAACAATACCGCGTGGAACAACACCGAAGCAATACGCTAAAAAATGGAAGAAGTTATTTCAGAGTGCGCTCTGTGATGCCAAGACAGAGAGAGAAAGGCTTTGCTGACATTTCTGGTCTTGCTGGGTGTGTTAAGAAGGCAAAAGGGATCTTTGCAGATGACAAAGGGCAGTCAGCTGGGTGCCTGGGTGCCCTGCGGCAGCTCAAGAGGGCTGTGCCATCTCCCTGGCTCAGGCCGGGAGTGAGACACGTTAATCACAATGCCACAGCCAAAAGGTGCAGAACTGATTTAATATAAACTCTGCTGATTAAAGTTTGTGTAAAAATACTGATAGTTTAATTTTGTCCCGGCAGGATTTATGCTGGATTAAGTGTTTTCCATCCTCTGCTTGTTAACACAAACCTTCTACCACTTTTGATGATTTGCAGCTCTTGTGCCTCTACGTAATCCATAGCAAATCCGTACCAGAGGGCGCCCTGGTCTGGCACGAAAACCAATCTTCTGAGCAGAAATCTATAACAAATAATCTTATTACAATAATTTTAAAGTGCCCTCAGGAAAGGTGCTCGTGATGCCTTGACATTACGGAGCCAACATACAATCTAACGCATTATTTTTACAAAATCCTCTGAAGCAACAAGGCAAAATACAAAAGGAGGGGAACAACAAACATATAAGCAAATACTGTTAAGTCTTACAATGGTCTCATTAACTATGATACATTTTATAATTAGTCTTGCAGTGCTGTAAGAATAGGGGGCAAATTGGCAGGAGTATCTTTGAAAAGGCCCAGATTTTGTCAGTACGACCACAGTAAATACGGAAACAGCAAGCTCAGTGTTTGAAGACAAAATTTGAGACTATGAATTACTACGAGGCATTTTACTACAGGCATTGAAAAAATACAATATCCAAAGAAAACCCACGAGCCACATTTTGCTGAGGAAAAAAATAAAAGATGATAGAACAGTGGCTACGTATATCCAGTGACATTAACCGCCTGGTTTTAGATTTATAAAGAAAACAATCCTTCTCATCCCTCTTGATCCCAGATATGTGTATATGTATGTGCCTACATATACACACACATCTATGCACATAGATAGACACACACATATATATATTTCAGGGTCTAACTAGGTTTCTATTTCCTTTTCTTTTTTTTTTTTGGAATAACTTAAGAGAACACAACTGGGCTCAAAAAAATCAAGAAATTGTGTGCATGCAAGCATATCCTGCTGCTTGTGCATGTAAATTACACAATTTGTAAACAACTGCAGAAATAGCACGTTCAAATTAGGCAGCTGATTGCCCAATTAACTTGCTTAAAAAAAAAATCAGATGATAACCATCAGTAGCTCCTATTATATATTTACTTCTCAGCATCACTTTGCTGAATTCATAGCACATATCCTCAACAGCTGCGTCGTTATTTTGTGCTTTAACACAGGCAAAAGCAGCAATGCATGCTCAATAAAGTACCAAATGAACTTTGGACCAGATTTTAGAAAGCTGTTTAGATACTCAGAGTCCTTATCCCAGGGAGGACAAGGCAGATTAGACAATTTAAAGAAATTAAAAAAAAATCTGGTCTCAATTCAAATGGTATGAAAAGAAATCCAGAAATTTTCAGCCTCTGTATCTCTATTAAGAGGCAAAGTTTTGCTTTTTTTTTTTTAAGGTGTCTTGTTTTGTTTAACAGGCAAGCATTACGTAACAGTATACGTTCATATCCTAGTAAATCCTTACTTTATTTTTGTATTAAAATAATTGTCAATCAATTCCATCAAGTTGAGACAACACAGCTTTCCACATTCAGGTGCATACTTCCTAATGGACAGAGAATCTCTATCCAAGTACTGTGAGTACAGAAGCTTGTTAATGTGTATATTGAAATGAGTTAAGAAATGGACTTTTACCATAAATATGTTGCTCCTTTGCTGTTGTACGTCTTTTTCGGAGATGATGTTGTGGATAGGGGGTATATTCTTTCCTTTGCCATTTTTTTTTGCGCAAAATAAATTTTAGCAACTTTAACAGGTGAAAAAAAAACACGTTGAGCAAACTGTTATCTTAACAACAATCTCTCAAATACGAGAAAAGGAAGCAAGAGCAGAACTGCTGGGCTGGATCATGTCCCTGAATAAGTATTTGATATAATCCTAGTGGCTGCATTTACCAGTTCGCTACAGGCCTTGTGCAGCAGCAGACGTGCTGGTCCAACTGTCAGTCCTCCCCAGGAAGAGGGAGAGTGGTAAGAAAAGCTACTGGACCCCCATTGTATTCTCATGAGTTTCCATCGAGCATCGCTGAATTTCTTCCCTCCACTTGTGTGGTGACGGTATCTGCTGGTGACTTTCCATTGCTGCTTTTCTTCCTCCAGAGATCAAAAATCCAATTTGGTACTTGAATTACTTTGTTCCACTCCGCTGGTCTGTGCCTGGTTTAAAAATCTTCCAGGAGCACTGCTTGCCCTTCTTGAAAATTCAGGCTTTTGTTTTTCTCCTATAAACAAACAAACAAAAATCCCAACTCCTCCCCATAGCCCCTCTCAAAAATATAATATCATCATGATTATTTGTATCAGGAGAATTATTTAGCAGTCTCCAGTCTTAGTACAGCTTTTGCTGAGTAAACGGTAGCTTATAGGACTCTGAAGTGTTTATTAGAAAGCTTTCAAAAAGAGATCTTCATTTCAGGAACAGAAAAATTGTTCAGTTTAGCAAATACAGATGTTCACAGCAAAGAGACTGAAATGGTTAAAAATGATCGGAAGGAGCAAGTAGCTCAAAGAGTTAGCAAAAAATTAACTTTTCCTTTTTTTTTTTTTTAACAGAAAAACACTAATAGCTGCTCTGGTTTCGATACTTAGTAAGACAGATTTTTGTTATATGTTCTTGTTTTTGCTTTTTATTTATTTTTTGCTCTATTGCTCCACACAGGTTTTGATTAGTGCTTCTCCTTGGCTACAAGTGCTTCACTTTGAAATACAAAGCTCTCGTTTTTTTTTAAAAAAATAAAAAACAAACCAAAAACCAAAAAAAAAAAAACAAAACAAAAAAAACAACCAACACCACATCACTGGAGGGAAACCGGGAAGTGATACAGTGCAGCTGTAGCAATCTGGTCCTGCTGTTGTCCTCCCCCATCCCCAAATCCGCTGCAGGATTTCACTCGTTAGTCGATGAACCTTTGGCAGGCCTTCTTCCACCGGCAGGCAGTACACCACATATCTCTGTTCTCCATCCCATAGACCTTCCGACACTTTTTCCCCTCCCCTCTAGGCTTCCTGTTGGAGAGAAAGGAAAGCTTGTTAACATGATGGTTTTTTTTTTAGCTTTACCACCCCCAGACCAGGACAAATGACCTAAATGGAGCACAGAAGGGCGAGAAACCCCAGTGTTTCAAAAAGATTTGGGGGTATTTGCGAGGTGACCAGGAACTGGTGAAGCTGGCAGATCCATGGCTGCACTCTCCAGCAGCTGCTGAGCCTGCTCCTCTATGCCAAGGCTGGTCCCAGTCATCAGGCTAAGCCTGATCTAGAAACCGTGTTACTTCAGCCACACTGAAGTGCCGAGGTGTAAGGGATAACCACAGCCCAGGTCACATCAGACACGGGCGCTCTTTGGTACAAATATTTTGCATAGCTCCGAGCAGCAGACCTCGACTACAAGCAAGCAGCAGCTCTGCAAAGGAGAGGAAAAGCCATCTCTGAAGTTTCTAAGTCCTTGCTGCATGGTTTGCTGAGGCTGGTAGATCAAAGAACACCACGGTGATTAAAACCAAGTGTCAACCCTTGCCCTCAGCTGCAAGGCGTTCATGTGTGCTCCTGCTCCTTCCTCCCCAAAGCCAGGCAGGCAGGTGGTACCTGCCTCTAAAGCTCTAATGACTGTCAGGTCTTCCATCCTGCAACATACTTAAAGTTCACACAAGAAGTTCAGAAAATGATCAAAGTAATTGTTAAAATGGAACTTTTCTGTTCAACTTGTAGCAAACCTGAGGAGTGATGCTACAAGGAGAGACCCAGTGCTTATTATGGCAGTGCCATCTGCCCTGGCATCCTTAAATCAAGTCAGCTTATAGATTAAAATTGTTTAATACCTGTATTAAATACTGCATGGCACATGTGGGAATTGCCTGGTGATTACTCTCTTGCATACATATGCATTTTTTGATTACTGAACATTTACTATTGGTCACAATCCATGAACCGGGAAGATCCCAAATTCAGTTCAGAGCACGTGCAACGATCTGAGAGTCATAAGAAAATGAAAAGCTTAAAATCTTCCTTTTGGTCTTTGGTTTCTTTGGTAGTCACCTTCTACGACTGAGAGATGAAGCATTTCTTTACTGTAAGAAATCTAGCATTGCAGTTGAAGTTTATAACATAACTTTCTGAATGCCTTTTTTTTTTAAAAAAAAAACAAAAAAGACTCCAGTCAAACATCATCTTTAATGGAAGTGAATGTAGCTCACATCTAGGAAGGCAAGGCATAAAGCTTTGCTTTATTTAATTTATTGTAAGATAAATTTTTATATCTGTTTTTAACTGGAGTCAACTACCACAATGAATGAATGGTGATGAGCACACAAGAGAGCCCAGCCTTTCAGGAAAAAAAAGCAAAGCCATGTAATGAAGTTCAGGATGCTTCAGCTGGAACAGTTGCAGTGGGTCTGCATAACACTGATTTACAGGAGAATTTAGATCTGCATCTGAACTCCAGATCCATCTGGCACAAGGCCTGCAGTTGTGCTTTGCAGGCTGCACTTCTCATTTCTCATCAACTCATTTTTTCCCCAGAACTTTACTTTTGATGCTAATGAAAAGCATAATAGGTCTGGAAGGGTTATCCTGAAGTCTTTTAGTGAGAAGCTGCCTGACAACTGCAATCACAGTCGGTGCTGTAGTTTTTCTGTTGCTTTGGCCCCTGACATCTTATTTACTAAATAACCTGCAAGTTGTGAAGCTGCTGGTCTGTCAGCAGGAGCTAACGGTCCCGTACCTCAAGCCAAATGCTACTCTAGGCGGTGATGAAAGAACTGTGTGGGCCTGTTTCTGCTCTCCACTCCCTGCAGGACGATTATGAGTTGGTGAGACCTGTCAATACAGACAAAAAAGGCTGCTTATGAACTGCATACAGGCACGAATGCAATACAAACACACCTTTAAGTCTTTGGCAATCAAACCGCTGCTGTTTGTCACAGGTAAACAGAACTGTTCCCACAAAACGTAATTAATGATACGTGGTGGCAAAGATACCCGGGAAAGGTTAGTGTGTAACACACAAACACAAATAAGCTGGAGGTCTCTGTATAAATACGTCCATTTTGCATCAGGTACATATTAGCTGCATTTCATTCTTCTGTACTTCTAGCCCTGCAAGCAGAGTAAACTGGAATACAGATCGGCATCACTTCAGGTTTGGGGAGACACAGAAAATGCATGCATTCAATTTTTTTTTTTTTAAAGAACTCTGAACGGCTCCTACTAAAACTTTCTCCAATGTAAGCAGAGAAAATACCTGGAAAAACAAACTCCAGGCTGTGCTAAGATGAATACCAGCAACCCCTTATGAAATGAAGGGATTTTGCATGCTGCTCCAGTCTGTGACCTTGCACTGTTTGTGGATTCAGCCTTGGCGAAGGGGGTTTGCTGCAGGGCAATTACAATGCAGCCCCCCAAGTCAGCCCTTCTGATCCAGGCTGCTAGCAAGCCGTACCAAATTATTTCCTTTGTTCTACACTGTAAACCTTCCCAGCAGGTTTCCTCTTCCCTGAATGCTCCTGAGTGCATGGCGTAGTTTGGTCTCCTGAGACTTCACAAATAAATATGCTGCAGGAGCCTGGGAGCTGGGGCCATAATTCAAGTAGCCACGTGCCATAAAGCTTGGCCTTACATAATTCCTTGATTATTTACAGCTAGGGACTTATTTAGCTCCTGGGTGCATGCCCCAACCACTTACTTCTAAAACACAAGAAAAAAATGATACTTTTGAGCAATTCCATTTTGATATGTACAGAACACAGCAAGCTTCGTCAGGTGCACACAGCCGCTGCCTTCTGCATGCAGTAATAGCAGATATCATCACAGCTCCTTGTGCAACCACGGCTGGCTTTTCGCTCCTGCCCTTCTCAAGTCTCATAATATCTGTCTGGAAGAAGTGACCTGATTTGAGGGTAGTTATTGAATGTGCTTTGAGCATTACTCTATTTTACAGCTATTGCACAGCAGCAAAAAGCTATTAGAGCAGCCACTCTTTCAAATTTCACTTTTGGCTGGCACCTACAGAAATTTCCCATTTAAGTGCATGTGCAGCTCACGCCCTGCACAGGTTTAGGCCATTACCAATACAGTATTTCATATCTCAAAAAATGAAACGAATTTCTTCTCTCCACCTGCTTACCATAACTCAAGTTTTATACAACCAGAGACCACCCTAGGTCCTTCTGTCCTGTCAGTCCTCGCTCCTGAGTGCAGCCTGTTGGCTACGACATGCTGCCTCCCCTGATGCTAGGGGTTATCCAAATTCCTTCTTTCATAAATACAAACTTATATTTTGCACAACTCAAACACACCTGGTCTTAATGGTCCCACTTCACAAATGGAGCATACATGATTACGTATGGAGTATTCACTGATTATTTTGGCTTTTTGTCAGTCTTTCTCCATCAGCAGTGACTTTATATTTTCACTTCCAGAAATGCCCCAAAGCACCAGCCCCAGCGTGGAGGTGATGCTGGCTCAGTGGATTCCCAGTGGACTACTGCTGCTTGACATCTGACAGCCAGATCTTAATTCACCTATCATATGCTGCGTTGGCACTACATATTTTCGGTTGAGATACCTGCTGCCTTTCAAAATCTACACGTTAGACTTCTGCAGTTGCCTTTAACCAGAAAATTGTCACCTCTGTCAAGACCGGTGTGAGGTTTCTTTGGCAAATTGTACTTTTATGTAAAATCATGCAGATTGTCATTAACTTTCTATCCGTTATTAATCACTTCTCTTGTTTAATCAAGGAGTGATTGGAACATTGAAAATGTTTCCTTGTTTTCATATTGGCAAAGCAGTAACACTTCTCTGTTCTCTGGCACTGGTGTTTAAATATCACTGCTAGCTGGTACTCGGCATATTTCTTGGCTATCATCAAAGAGAGGATATTCTGACGGCCTCCTGTGATAAAGCACACTGCCCAATTGCTTCCAAACACAGAACAGATTCGAGTAGCAATTACAACGTGCAGAGCCTCCCCCAGCTCTCCAAGGAGGGTCTCAACACTGTGGTTACCATGGATGAGTACAGCAAGGAGGCTAAACTGCACCAAAGTTGGGCTTTAGTGTATTTCGACACGCTTTGCAGCAGGCACAAACAATACCTGTTGGCTGTACTCACTTGTACACCGCACTGAGTGCCAGCTAAGAGCAGGGCCTGAGACCTCAATCCCTGGAGGCTTTTCACATTTGAAGTGCTGTCTGCACAGAGCATTAATGGGAAATGCTATTGTTTGTTAGGAGGGAAGACTTGGAGCTTCCAGTTACAGCTCCTAGGGGAAACTGTAGTTACAGAGAATAGCTGTAAACACCAGATTACCAAAATCTTCTAGATAAATGTCTAAGGTTAGATGCTGTGAATACCCCCAAGCCGAAAGCAGCTGCATAATGAATCCCAACTGGTCCAGCTGTAGGTACAGGTTGTTCAGAGGTGCTTAGGAAATTGCTGATAAGCACACTCACATTCCCAAAGCTTTTTGGTGCTCCTGCTGAAGACCACCCAAAAGCCAGGGCTTAAAGCAGTTTATACTGCACCCATGTTCCTGGGAGAGCACACAGGGAGTGTTCAGTGTCATGTAAACTCAGTGTCCAGAGGAACAAATGAGGAGATACCAAGGGTAGGTTTCAAAAAACACCTCCCAAAAATATTTTGAAATTTCACCTCTCTCTGGGACTGAACTGCTGACATCCAGGCCTAGGAAGGAACCTGTGCCAAATGAGAGTTTAGCAGTGCTCTCAGGGGCCCAGGACAGAATTGCCCCATCCCAACCCCCCTGATAACCTGTGTGCTTTTGTAAATCTGTATCTATTTTGTTACTACTCAGTGGTTTGTCATAGGCCAAAAAGGTATCCCTGAGCCATTTTAGAAAAAGGCTTGCCCCCTTTCTAGGGGTCAGAGAGAAAGTAGTGGCTTGGATTTACTCTCTGAAGTTCCCCTGCTTGCTGCAGACATGTGCCTAACCTCAGGGACCGGCTACATACAGTACTGCATGCTTGGTGCTCAGAGCATGAGTTTATGTTATGCTGGCTCTGTCACACAGGCTGATCACAAATAAGCCTCATGTAAGGCAGAGAAAGTCCACTAAACCCTTACAGCTTTCCTAAAGGGGTTATATTCATTGAAAGGGTGGGATCAGATAGGCCCTTGCTTTTATAAGGCAATATCTAATTTACTTTGAAACAAAAGAAATGCAATTTTCATTTAATATGCAGCTTTTTAGTATCACTTAGCATTTACACCCTCACTTACCACATGAGTTCCCACTGCAGGCAAGCCTTTAATTCTTCAATGATCTCACTGCTGACAGAATATTCAGATGTGTGAACTTCAGTTCTCCCCCCCTCCCTTTTCCTTTTTGCTAAACAGCCTTATAAATGTTATTAGATACAGATATAAAAACAGTTCGTGCGGTTCCCTGAGTGATTTCTAATACTACTACCATCACTGCTTCCCCAGGTTTCTGTATTGGGATTATTCTTGAATTATACTTAAATCAATGGCATCTTCACACAATTCCCAGAAAGGGATTTGGCATTTCTTGAATTCTTTTGAGCCCTCTCAACTCTCCAGCCACAGATTGACGTCGTTACTTGAGCCGGTAAACTCGACACATACATGTCTAATCCTGTCCTCTTCAGTGTCTGATTTACAATGTGGCTAATTGCACTTTTAGATTCCCAACACTACTGGCACCAATTTCTGCTACTCCACAGAAGGAGCCAGATTTGTAATTGCTCTGTATCAACCCCATTGTTGGGAAATCAAATACTTGAGGAACTTTATGGATAGCATGCTCTGTCAAGGCGCTCGTGTTCAAATTGCTGCCAGCATGATGTCTTTCACTGTTAGTTGTTCCTTGATGGAATTTAATAAATATTCATTGGCAGAGTGCAATGTAATTGATTCAGCCACTTTCATTTTTTATCGGCCCTGCAGGATACCACAGCCTCTGCAGAAAATCTCCAAGATTTGCCAAAGGTTGACAGTAAGAGGCTTTGGAGATGTGCTTGGTGAAGAAAAGGGAGGGAAGTAGTATCTGTTATCACCATGCGTAATATTCACTGTAAGGAAGAAAAAAAACCTATATGGCTCTTAAATGAGCAATGTGCCTTATGCAATACACTGTAAAAAATCATAAAGTACAGTATTAAATGAAATGCTGTGATATGAAGTGGGTTTATGATTAGAAAGTAATAATTTATACTGAAAATTGCTTTCCGATAAAAATTAGAATATTTTATATGCATATTTATTTCTATTTGTACTACAGAAGAATTTCCATTACTTAAAGGTAGTGATTTACATCTGTTGTTGTTAATCACCATGCGAGGCCCCAGAAACCTTATCCTGTTGAAGCTTTCATACAGGTTTTTAACTCCCCCTACAGTATTCACACCTATATTGCTTTGTGTTTAGGACTACTGGAAGTTTATGTTTAAGCAAGAACATTTCCATAGTACTGTTCAGAAATTAGGCCTTGCACACTAGCTTTTTTGAAGAAAGGGTCAGAGACCCTGATGTTATGAGATGCTGTGAAACACAAAAAGTTCTAAAAACTTTTTTTTTTTTTTTAATTATTATTCACTTACTGGAATGCCGGTGAAGGTAACTGGAGGCGACTGCCAAGAGATGCTAAAGCTACTGCCGTTAGGAGTGAATTTTGTTGACCCTGGAATGTTCACCGGAGGAGTGGCCTGTTTGAAAAGAAAATATTATTCCAGTAAAAGAACCATTCCTCTTCCAAAGCATTTCAAGGGATCTTTCACTTCTCAAAACTGTAAATCTGCACGCAGAGAAAAAAATTTCATCGTGCTGACAGTGACAAGCATTTTACTCTGTTACTGAGAGGGATAATCACAGATAAGCCAGGAGGGAAAGAACATGTTTATATACCACTGTTCTTAAAACCTTATTTAGAGAGAGATGATAGCTCTTGCAAGAATCCACATAAAACCTTTAAAAGCTAGATCTGATAAAAAAAAATGAAATCAAGCACCATATTAAAAAAAACTTATTTAATAATGCCAGCCAGCAGAAAAAAAAAAAAAGTATTAGAAACGATTAACCTTCCCACAGTGATAAACAAGGAAGTATTTAAACTGGTAGCAGCTGGTTTAAACAACTGAAGATTGCCTGGAGAGTGTTTTTGGACAACAGGGTTAATGGTAAGGGTTGGCCATTTTCCGTTCATCAGATGAATGTTCCTAAGAATCAACATAATTAAAACAGCCTTTCTTATTAACAATAAGGAGCTGAACATCATCCTTGGGATTCAGTAACAGCTAAAGCGAGTATCTGAAGGACTCTTACAGTCCTGGGAACTTGTACTTTCTTTCTATCCAGGTTGTAACACCCAGTAATACCCTGGGTTGCAGTCCCCAGTAATTACAGCTTAGACTGTTCAGTATCTTTCATCTTATGTCCTCCCCCAGCTTTTCTCACTGGGCTCTGTGTCCTTTGCAACTCCTTTCCCCCCTCCTTTTGAATCCCTGTTTGTTTGACAGAGTCAGGAAATTTGTAACTTTGCACTTTGCCCTGCTTAGCAGGAGTGTGAGCAGCCCCCACCAACATAGACTTCCTTTGACTCTTTAGATTCAAGCTTTCATCACAAAAAAAAAAAAAGCCCCTTGGTTTAAATTTATGAAGAACCTGCTCTTAAAAATGAGCTTTCCTTCTGTCTTTCAGTTGCTTGTGCCTTGCAAAAGCACAAAGCATTTATGTAAGCAGGTGTTTATGTTTGAGGCTGCTGGAGTTGCCTCACTGCTTCCCCGAGCCACAACGCTGAGGAGGAGCGATGACAAACTACAATCTGATTGTCCCCATTAAAGATAATCTTCAGAGCAAACAAGTGCTGAAGCAATCCCCTGGAGCCTCTCCAAGCAAAAGAAACCAAGACAACTGAATGACTCCATCTACTGCAGCTATGCTCTGCGTGCTGCTGAGGCTGCAGACAGCTCCAAGGGAATCAATACAGACACACCACTTTCTCGAGGAAGTACGTGTCTACTGAGCTCAGTAACATAAAAGCCTCACTGAAAGGCATTGGGAAAAACGTGGTGACTCAGGTGGTACCTGCAGTGCTTTATCACAGCCCTATTTAAACAGGAGCGGGTGAAAATAGAATCATAGCATGTCCTGAGTTGGAGGGGACCCACAAGGGTCAGAGCCTAACTCCTGGCCCCACAAAGAACCACCCAAAAACCAAGCCATGTGTCTGAGAGCACTGTACAAACACTTCTTGAACTCCAGCAGGCTCGGTGCTGTGACCACTGCCCTGGGCAGCCTGTCCCAGTGCCTGAGCACCCTCTAGGTGCAGACCCTTTCCCTAATCCCCAGCCTGACCCTCCCCTGTCCCAGCTCCATGCCAGTTCCCTCGGGTCCTGTCGCTGTCCCCAGAGAGCAGAGCTCAGCGCCTGCCCCTCCGCTCCCCCAGTGAGGGAGTTGCAGGCCGCCATGAGGCCTCCCCTCAGCCTGCTCTGCTCAGGGCCGAGCAAACCAAGGGACCTCAGACCCTCCTCATGTGTCTTCCCCTCTAGGCCCCCCACCATCTTTGTAGCCCTCCTTTGGACACCCTGTAATTGTTTTATGTCCTTCTCATACTGTGGCACCCAAAATTGCACACAGTGCTCAAGGGGAGGCTGCACCAGCGCAGAGCAGAGCAGGACAATCCCTTCCCTTGACCTGCTGGCAGTGCTGGGCCTGAGGCACCCTAGGGTACAGTTGGCCCCTTTGGCTACAAGGGCACACTGTGGACTCATACTGAGCTTATCATCAACCAAAACCCTCTGCAGGGCTGGACTCCAGCCACTTGTCCCCCAGACTATATGTACATCCAGGATTACTCCATTGTAGGTGCAGAATCTGACACTTGCTTTTTATATTTCATTCGATTGGTGATGGCATAGCACTCAAAGTTACTGAGATCTCTCTGCAAGGCCTCTCTGCCCTGAAGGGAATCAATGGCTCCTCCTAATTTAGCACCATCCACACACTCACTCAGTGTGCACACAACTCCTGTATACAGGTTACTGTAACTGATGTAACCCCAGTTACCACAACTCTTTGAACCTGACCCTTCAGCCAATTGTTCACCCACAATACTGTGTATACATTCAGCTATTACACTGGGTATTTTATCCAGAAGGACACTGTAAGAGACAGTATCAAAATTTTGTTAGAATCAGAAAACAAAACAAACTGAACAACAACAAAAACAGATCCACACTCTTCCCTTTGTCCACTATTGGGTAATCTTGCCACAAACGTATATTAAGTTAGCAAGGCACGACTTTGCCTTCATGAAACCACACTGGCTTTGAATCATGGCAGCACTCTTGCCAGAAGGAGCTGAAGGCAATGGGTTGTGCTCAGCATCTCCTGGGATGTCAGTGCCAGCATGGCTGCTCCCCGAGGGATGCCAGTAAAACCTGCAAGTGGAACCCTAAATGCTGAAAGAACCCACCTGTAGCTACTCTGTATCTAAACTTAACAGGTAGAGGCACTGGTTTCATAATGAAATGTGAGGTATGAAAAGTTTCAAATTGCTTTAATTTGCAGTTTCCTAAAATACTATGATGCTCAATTCTTTTTTCACAGTGCCTAAATATTTACCTCAGACATGATGAGATTTAGACAATCAATCACCTTGTTCTTTGGTTCCTACAAGTGCATCTTTGCACTTCAAGCACAGTTCTTCATTCTGATCACCTATTTCTACCTGTTCCAGTTGAGATCACCATCCTTGAATGTGGGTTACCAGAACCATACTCAGGTTCAGCTAAGTTATATAACGGTCTTGTACAGTGGCATAAAAATACCTGTAAGAAATTTGTATTTCTCACCCGAGACAACTTATAACTGTTTTGTTTTTTCCCCTTCACATCTCCACTGTTGTTGACTCACAGTCATTCTGTGCTTGATCAATAAACAGAGATTTCCTCCTTTTGTGATTTTCTAGCCACCTCAGCTTAGAGCAGAAACATCTCATTAGTTCCTAAGGTGCAGGACTTTGCATACTCTGCCACTAAATTGCATCCAAAAACATATTATTTTTAAGATCATCCAGTTATGTAAACATGATACACAAATCTCAGTACTGCTGACATCTCCTGAGTTTGTTATTATAGTACTTGCCTAGTATCAAAATGATTTAATGAAAATGCGATCAAGTCCAAATACTGCCTTTTCATACAGCTCCACTAATAACATCCTACAGTCCCTTCAAAATAACTCACTGTTGTTCTCCCTTACTTCCCAGCTTCACTCCTACATTAAAATTTATCTCTAGCCAAACAAATACTGCCTATATGATTTAAGATCAAACTCTCCTCAAATCCAGAGGGATTTGTTCTACTGTACTGCTTCTTCTTTGTTGAAAAAAACTACCTTTTTTTCTTTCTTGGATTTTAGATTGTTCTAGTCTTTCTTCAGGGTTTCTCCACTGAAATTTACTTCATTACTTCATTTATCTCTATTTCTTCAAGTATTGTTCTAGATCTCTCCTCACCCATATGACTGCATCTGACAAGAGAGTCAGGACTTGCCTGATCGCTACCCTTTTACTCCCTTCTTACTGCAGGTACTCTGTTTGTCATTTGCCAGTCATACTAGAATTGCAGATTAACAGATCTGTTTAGGATTTCTGCACCCCAACTTCGGATTCTGTATTTGTTTTTTCCTTTTATTAATAAGAATTCTGGGATGAACATTACCCAACCTCCCTTAAATAAGTTTATTGAGCTTTGAATTTTGCCTCTTCACTTACTCCCAATGAAGTAATTTGCACTTCCATGCTCTGATTCATATGAAAGACTGTCTTCATAACTATATTCCCACTGGATACCTTTTTTTTTTTTTAATTCTGATAAAAAAATACAAACTTCATCAAAACTGTGGTAATATTAAACATTATTTGTTTAATATTAAAGATGCTGATGTCACCTTCCCTTCTTTTTCCTTTGACACAACAGATTGGTCATAAGAATGCTTGGATGTTACAAAGGAAAACAGGTTTTAATTCTTCCTCTTTCTGGTCAGAGTTGAATCTCCACCTTCCCTCCCACAGTTTTTTCTGGCTGGGCTGGAGAGGACTCTACACAGGATCCCATTGACCTGCTCCACACAACCTGATTCCTTGGCAAGGAAAACCTAACTATGACCTGGAGCAGGGACTCCAGTTTCTCACTTTCACCATGAGAATGTATTAAACAGTAAGCACAGGGCCATTCCCTGTTGATGAAATGAAGTATTCAGAATGGAGCAACTTGAAAAGGAGGCATCTGTAGAGGTCAGATACATGCAGGTTGATACCATAGAATACATCAGCCCAATTCCAATTCAAGCAGTTGAAACATCTGAACCATGATTTCCTTAATCAAATGCTTTACTCAAAGACTGGAAAAAAAATGCAAAGGGCTGGCATATCCTTTCTCTGCTATATAAAGGAAGATGGAGCCAGTCTTCAGACTGCAGGAAAAAGAGTGCCATGACTGCCAATCCCAAATGCAGTGAGCAGCCAGGATTTGGTGCTTCGACCTGGGAGAGGCAGGGCTTAAATCAGTCTGAGAAAAAAGGTCTTCTCCTACTGGCTTGATCAGTGCCCAGGTTGGTGCACCACCTGATGCAGCTACCCCCCTGAGATGCCAAACTTCCACCCAAGTTTTCCACAGTGCTTGGGAGTCCAAAACAAGCCTGTGGTCTCTGGGTGGTTCCCTCTGCCCCTTTAATGGGTCTGTTCCAGACAAACAACAAAAGGGCTTCATCTGCACCGTGCTGCATACAAAAGTTATTGCATCTGATAAATTTAACAGAGTTCAGTTCTCTGGTGCATATGCAGGTCACGGACCACACCACTTCAAAGCATTAATTCTTCTTTTCCCATATGGTATCCAGACAAAAAAAAAAAAGCCAAATTTTAGTACACTTTTACAATTAATGCTTTCTGTCTGAACTTAATTGGAAGTTTTTGGAACAGCACTTTGGATCTCATTGGATTTTTGCCATTTGCAAAGAATTACCCTTAAGAGTAGGAGGATCCCATATACGCCTTTCCATTTTTGCTGCTCTACTTCCCATATGCAAACTGACATCTCGCACTGTACAAATACAGGAAACGAACTGTTCCTGGCATCTGCTGGGTACTTGCCTCCAGACACAGTTTCAGCTCTGTTTGTATGGGTAACACTTTGGGAGGGATTCAGCTGACTGCATGAGATCATTTACAACACAGGAGGCCACGTTAGAACACGTCACCTTGGCCTTTCCTTACAGTCAGTGAAGAAAGTGAGTACAGTCTGTGGGTAGTCACTGGAACACACCGAGCAGCTCTTCTCTACCTGAAGGATGACCTATGCGTGGCTGCATAGATAATAATCCCAAAGTCCACTGCCTGTGGTGGAAGCATAAACAAACAACTAGCTCAGATGAAGACATTAGATTTAAATGAGACAAATCTTGCTGGCTGCCCCACAAAACTTGAACCCTCTGAAACTAGGCTTGGCTTTTCAGAAGCCAAACATAGTGATCAGGCATTTGTTTCTCCATTAATGGAATCAGTATAAGCAGTGGAACTCCCTCTCACTCGCGTTACCTGGTAAGCATGGTCCGTGTGTACGAGGTAGAGGTTGGTAGGAGCTGAGCGGCTCAGAGGTGTCATCAATTTAGTCTCAGTTTTGGCACAGGAAGTTTCAGGACGGATTGCATCTTGGGTGGGAAACGAAGGAGGAGATGCTAAGGATGGAGAGACTGGGGAAAGGCTGCTTAAGCCATCGGCTACTGAGTCCGTGTTGAGCCTGATTTCTGTATAGTAAAAATCCTCCTCTCCATCACTGTAGTCAGACTCTCCTACACGTCTGTATTGAGACAAAGAATAATTGATTAAATGAAAGCAAGAACCCTAAGGTGAGTTTTAAGTCCTACATGCATGAGCACATATATTCGTACTGTTGACAAATTAATATTCCCAGTTTCACCTCTGCCTACTTGATCAGTATTCTGACCACAGGGAAGGGGAGAGGAAAAGAAAATCATCTAGTCTGAAGGGAAAAGAAGCAGGAATTAAAACTTGTTTTCCCTCTATGTTATTCTGAACTAATTCTTTGACCTTGGACTTGATGTTTAACTTCTACGCTTTCACTTAAATATCAGTATTTGCTTCCCTCTGCTAACCACTGAAGTTAACAAGAATTGCAAAGCCCTTTAACTTCATAAATGGCAGAGAAACCACAGAAGGACATGTCGAGATAACAGGCACGGGCAAGATATATTTTACTAACATAACAGCAAATAATTTGTTATCTTATCATGTGTTATTTAAATCAAATACAGTTATAGCCACGGTTCACTGTAACTTTCCTTGGCGTAACAGAAAAAGCTGCTAGGAAACAGTGCCTCAGACACAGGCAGAGGAAGGACATGTAAGGGCTGGCTTGCCAGTGCTGGACCTTCTGGTCCTACTCTCCAAATGCAGACTTACTGAGGGAGGAGATACAAAAGGCTTAAATGTCCCTGCGTCCCCCAGCACCCTCTGTTGTGTCTTAGAGCACACGTGCTGGCAGTGAAGCAGCCCAGTCAAAAGCAGCAGTTCCCAACAGGCTATGCATTATCTGGAAATCCCAAACCACTATTTTAACACATTCCCAAGCCAAATGCTATTCAAATGTAACTCACAGTTCATACATGCATATTTTTGCCCAAACTTCCCTATGGAAAGCGTGGGAGCCCTGTGGGCCCTCCTGTGCATGCCCACATAAGGGCAGAATGCTGGACTTCTCTTCTTCCAGGTATGCACCTCAAGAGCAGCCCCTCACCTGTTTCTCAGCCTGCTTGCCCATATAACTCCATCTGTGGTCCTCTTGCTACCTTAGTGAACAGAACGCACTGAGAGAGCACGGTTTCAGCACTTTTGAAAGGCTCAGTCAAAAATATTATCTGCTGGACCACCTTAAGTTAACCACCAAAAGCCTCTCTCCCCCAAAAAGCTGCAAGCTCTAAATTCTAGGGAAGTTCTGCTGTTTACTTTTGCCTGCCCCAGGCCATGAAAAGCATGTCCCAGCAATATACAAGACAAAGAGAAAAATTTATAACGGCATTTATAAAGAGATTTTTTTCTGCTAACCTCACTCTTCAGAACCTCAGCCCAACAGCAATTGCTGCCACCTTTGCAAGCCTGCAAGTCTCTCTCCAGAGCTCCATACCAGACTACACCCTCACGGTCACTCTAATTTTTAAGCACTGTTTAACAGACTTACACACCAGATATATTTCCATGTATCTCACGGGTGAAGACCATAAGAAGGGGAATGAGAAAAGAAGATTCAAAGATCATAGACATGTAAGACAACACCTGGAGCCCTTTTCCCTTTTACATTGCCCTGGCTGCTTTCTCAATGACACCACGAGGCAGCATGAGGAACCCCCTGTAATTATGTATTCAACAGCTAGATCACTCAGGGAATTGCACAGGAGATTTTACTTGAAAACTAAAGTTCTGAAAAAAACCTTGCATCATGTAAGAGCTTTTGCTTCTAGTCCACATAAACACATATTAAGTTTGCAGCTTGGTTTCATTTTCTTTTTTTTTTTTGAGTTGGTTTGAATCTGAACTAGTGCAAGCACCCAATGTGATATGAAACAAAACTGGGAAGTATTCATGCAAGACCTTGAAACCTGTCATCTTTCACATGGCTTCAGTCTGGGTGTGATGTGCAGAGCACAGGTATGGAGTAAAAACAGTTCTCTATCAAATATCACCAAGTTGCATGGACATTAGCGATCTACAGCTGCACCTGACCTTCTAGTGAAGTTCACTAAAGTTCAGAAAAGAAAGTGCCTTGCTGTTGGAAAAAGTTTCTGTTCACCTTAATACACTGCTCCACAATTTCATCAGAAACCTGTGAATCTTAGAAAAAACAAGGATAATCTGGTTCATCTCCCTGCCAAAGGGTGACTGCTTGCCTTCTATACCAAATCCTTTTGTCTTCTGAAGACACCGGTCTCTTACCCAAGGTGAACGGTCCGTATGTGTTTCTGAATCCCTGCAGCTGTGCTCAGTACCTTTCCACAGTTTTTCCACAGGCATTTGAACATCACCTTCATGGAGTTCTGAAATTTATGAGTAAAGCAACATATTCTTCTTAGTTGCACGGAAGATAGATGAAAAAAAAGCAACCCAAAACAAACACAGAGTTACAAAACACTGTTTTATCTGTATGCTAAATCACTGAAGGTCTAGAGCGTCTAACCCTGAATTTGTAATACTGCAGCTGGCTCTGTTGACAGTGCAATCCCACTGAACCCAACAAATTCTGGTGGAAAGCCACTGGAATAGCTTGTGCCAAAAGCTTACCTCTCTCTGCTCTTTGGCATGACATGAAGCTCCTACGACCCTTGCCTGGACAAGTGAGAATTCCATCTAACTCTGTTTAATGTTTTTAACGACTATGTGTATAATCTCATTTTAATGAGATTCTTGTGCATATGTGATTTCATTAGACTGAGTTGTCATTGATTTAAAGCACGGCAGACCTGACTGTAACCCACCCCCATCTTCACTATTTTGAAGACTGGAGAATACAAATCATCAGTTTAAAGCACAGGACGTGGTAACAAACTGCACAGAAGTCACAGAATTTTACAGATATTTTAAAAGCCAACTTAATCCCCAGATTACACCAACTTTATACCTTTCATATAAAGATTGTTAATACCTAAATAATTTGTGCTTCCTCAAAATCACGTTCTCTCTTACAAGAGGATGTATTATTAAAGAAAACATGAGGAAGAGCTTCTAAATATTGTATTATTAACCTATAATTTTAATTACCTGCAAGATTAAATGAATATGCTCATGTAAAGTTCAATTAAAAAAACACAACAGACCAAGCGTATCTTTAGAGTTAATAACATGCTTCCTCTGTATCTTGAAGAGAAAGAGTTTGGACCCTTTGGAATGGCATGCAAGTAGATGTAAGTTTCAGCATTTGCTATAAAGACAACAATTAGAATATAATTTTTTAAAAAATCTGAGCTGATGGGCTTTTTGAAACCTGAGCTGATTGTAGTAGCGTGTTCTCACAGCTATCTGGCAGTCTAACAGCTCTTGTTTTGAAGTATGGATGCTAGGTGCTGCAAGACCTGAGGTACTGATTATAGCTTGTACAAAAATCTTCTACATTAGAATAAATTGCACATAAATTCCCTGCATTTTTTTTTAATCTGACAGTACAACTACCATTCAAATAAACACAGAACCGTTTCTTCCTAAAATTAAACATAATCTAGCAATTATAACAGATAAATTTCTTACTTTTACAATAAAAAAAAAAGACTGAATACTGTCATCAGCTTAAAAACCAACAAAACACCACCAGCCACAGTGACAAGATGAAGATCAGGCTTATCATTTACATCTTAGGAATTCTGATACGGTGCCACGAACACCGTGTGTACCTTTATGAACACAGAGTGATTTTACATCAGCCTCTGGTTACATTGCAAAAACGATCTCTCTAGTGCATTTTTAGATTTTTTTTTGTCAATGCTTTTTTTTTTTTAAATGAATTTTAACATTAACCAAATGAAATCTCACACAATAGAAATATGGAAGGTAAACCACGCTTCCATTTCTGACCAAATTGCCTAGTAGGCTTTAAAGTTTTATTCTAGAAAATGACTGAACATTAAATGATTTGGTGGGGAATGACTACCTTAATGGAAACTTTTACGCAACTTTCTTAGTGGAAGTGGTTGCTAACATGCAATGGAAGAAATTTCAGTGAGTCAAAGTCACGGTTACCAATCATTATTTCCATGTCTATTCCTTCTGATTTTGAAGCTCTAAAGAAGAATTAACCTGAACATTTTTATTTCAGCTTCTAAATGCGTGAAGATGTACTCAGGCAGAGTGCCATGCTGGGGCCAGAATCAAAGAACCACAGGAAACGCCGCTCATCCATAACATAGTGTAGCAGGTATTGTTATTATTTACCTAAACTAAACATTGCCCATACAGAGCAAAACTCATGAGAATGGGAACAGACAGTGCAATGTATCTGTGGTGTGTACATAAATAGAAATATTCAAAGACAACTTACATAACAATAACGATGGCAGCTGTAAAGCCATCTGTCTAATCACAGCTGAACAATAGGAGTGATGATAATAAGCGTAACTTTAACTGAAAAGTAAAAGGCCAAGCAGCGCACTTCTGCATTCCTGCTGCCACACAGCCCAAAATCATCTCTGCCTTTAGTTTAACAACCAGGTCTAACTTCTAATTTATTATAAGAAATGTGTCCTCCAAAATATATACATTTTCCTTTTAGGAAAACAAAAACATAAAACATTTTACACCCTTCTCCCACAAACATGAGCAGAACAGTGTGGGTCAGCAAATAAGCAACTTCTGGAGCAAGAAGATAAATCTGAACACGTTTATACGATCATTAAAACTTCTTCCTGCTGGTGGTGAAGCAATTAACTGTCTCAGACTGAGCCAGAAACAAAGTCACTAAGGGAGAATAAATTGTTTTTCTCTTTCTTACAAAAAGCTCTTTTTCATCTTGCTATGTAAAACCTGTCCTGTTGTGTTGGGAAGGAAGAGGACTTGGACTAGTGCCATCTCTTTGTTTTCTTTTTCTTCGAGAGGAGCCTGCTTGATGGCATAGCGGTGCTTTTTTGGTTTTATTTATGGACTTTTTTTTTTTCTTTTTTTACACTGTGCTTTTTTTAGTTTGCTTTTGCACTCCTACCATGGATAAGTTCGGCCACTGCTAATACTGGATCAAAAGCCACGGGGTTTCATCTCCCTCTCCTGTTTTCACCCCATATGTTTGTGCAGAGAAAGCTTCGCAGCATTAAGACAACTGACACGCTGTCAGACAAACAGCACTTCCAGGGGGCATGAAACATCAAGGCCATATCCAGTCTTCGTGATGACACGTAAAGGCTGCCTGTTGCCTCCTGCATGCAAAGAATTTGCCACAGTGGCACAGAAATCCCTTGAATGGCCAGAGGCGATACCTTCTGGAAAGCACGCTGCTGTTTTCCGAGCAGGAGGCTCTGCAGAACCTCACCATCTGCCAGCAAATGTGCGGTGCTGATGGCAGCGTGGGCAGTAGGTGAGGAGACCACAGACACAGGGACGAGGCTCAGCACCTACATTCACTGGATGCCAACGAGAGATATGCACACAGAATGGGGGTGACCCATTCCCTCCTCATGGCAGAGTAAGTTTACCAACGCCCAATTTGCCTACAGGTATGGAACTGAAGAGGAAGCTAACCTTTCTTTTCCTAGGAATGGGTTCATCAAAGAGAAGGTTGCTTGTTTCAGCTTCATCAATACCATCATCTGGCTGGGAAGGCGTTCGGAAAGCTTTGAAGCTGTCAGCTGACAGAGGTGGAGATGGGGTGGATGGGTTGGACTGGTCACTGGGAGCATTCCAGCTCCAGTATCCACTGCTGCTGGTACTAGAAGGCACAAATCCTCCTTCTTTCCAAGATCCGTTTAGGGATTCTGTCAAGAACAACAGCCATCATCAGTATCACGTGTTAAGGGCAAAGGAGCACTTTTATCTAAGGCTTAGGTACCACATTGATAATTAACTGGGTGTTCAGCACAGGAAAGTTAAAGGCTTGGACACAGGGAGAACAAATACTTTCTGATCTTTAAACACCAACACATGACTGCAGCAGGGCATAAGAGCAAGCCTCGAGCCACTGCACCACCAAGAGAAGTCCCCTGGGCAGAGGACACAGGTTCTGCACCCCAGGACACGAGCTGTGTCTGCAAAACATCATCATCATCCAAGCACTTAAACACCAAAAAAACCCTAATTACGCTCTAACTGCCTTCTTTATGAGAAAGGCTTCTGCCAGCACACACACCTCTGGCTAATTGACATCCTGGTGTAACTGGATGCATCCTTAGAAGGATATCCCGTTTTCTTCATAAACGTGTGTGGCTGGGCTGCTGGTTTCAGACGTGGCATCCCTGGACCCCGTCCCACCTGCTCGCTGGAGGAGCCCCTTCCTCACTGCAGCAGCTACCCCGGCGTTATGTGGCAAGCAGGCACCCAAACGTGGAGGTTTGGCCACGCTGTGGTGGGTGGGAGATGTCTGGGGCATGATTTGAGCCCTATTTCATGTACTGAGGTCCTCTTCTCTGCCCCAAAAGGGCTTCTGGCAGGAGGGGAAGGTTCAGGTCCCCAGCCAATGCATAGGTATGGGCCAAGCACACCCAGCAGTGCAACGCCAAATAAATACCACGGGGGGCTCTGCCCGAAGCTGCAGCTTTGAACCAGGCAGGGACTGTTTGTGAGGTCTCACCAGAAGTCAGGCATCAGAAGTTTTTCTCAATGGCACTGTAGGTGTCCGAGCATTGTGCAAGACCTGACTTTGGAGTTGGCAAGGAAATAAAACAAGTAACGTTTCTTTAACAGATAAGATCTTAAGTGTGAGGCAGGAGCCTTTTCAAGTCAGTGCCTGCATTTAAGAGTTCTGCAGAAGTCACTCCTTCATTCCTTCCCAATTTCTTACAGACAAATTTAACTAATCATGTCAGCAAGAACATAATGTCTGCAACCAGAAGCTTAACCCCAAAATCAATTAAATGAATCATTTATTTTTATTATTTATTTATTTAACCCCTAGTTCAGTTGGTTTTGGACAAAGCCCTTAATTATTAACATCAGCTGCTCACAAAACCAAATTCAGTGCTTCATCATGTAAGCACACGTATAAAAATACCTGCCTGCACGGGCAGCAGCCAAGTCCCTGCACTTAAAGATCAGGGCCACTGGCTGTAAACCCCATTTCCCTCTGAAAAACAAAATAATCCTGCTTGGAAAAGGACACATATTTCCTGTAGCTACTAAGTTAACGTATGAAAATGTAGTGTTTTGGTTCATGGTTACAGCCTTCTGAATTTTCATGCCACTGTAATTGAGGTGGTTTTTGTTTCTTTTAAGTATTTGCACTTGAGTTTCCTGCCAAAGCCAAGGAGTACATATGGTATCAACTTGTGAACTTTGCATAGTTTAAAAATTGCATTTGTTCAAATAAACAGAGGAAACAGCACTCTTTCAACTACTGTTTTCTGACACATTACAGTGGTACTTTGTATTCTCCGGTTTTACAGCTCCTCCTCACCTTACTGAGAAAGAGATTGAGATCAAGAACATTTTTAAAGTAATATATGAAAGAAAAGACTGAATGAGGTTGACAACAGGAAGAAAAACAAACACTGGTTCTTGTTAATACTAACAAATCTGTCACTGTAAAGGAGTTTAAACTAAGACTAAATGCAACTTACTCTTACTTTGGGGCTTGTTTCATGTTGCTGGAGTTGCGTGAAAGAGAACCAGACCAAATATTACTCAGCTGCAGGGAAATAGGGGCCAAACTCTGATCCAATTTACATGAGTGATCACCCCCAGGAATTCCAGCAAAGATCAGACTTTCATATCAATGATAATATGATTTTCTACTTCTAGGCTGAATTATATTTTTTAAAAGAAATGCTCCTTTCTACTATTTACTGCCCTTTTTTTTTTTGTGTATGTGGGGGAGGAGTCATCAGTACTAAATTTGTGTTGCTAAGATCAGAGCCTAGCCTTGCAATACCAATTGAGTTTTATATTATCAAATCTTTGCACTTTTCTTGAAGTCTTTAATAAGCCTCCACTCAGGCAAAACTAAGATATTCAGGGAGAACGTGCCCAGCAACAGCTTCAAAATCTCATCTGTGACTACCGAAAACATGTGAACTGCTTTTTCAAGCTTGTCTTCCCCGATTTCGGGGAAGATGCAAACAATCTATGTGAAGGAATATCAAAGAGCACTCAGACTGCAAAAGGAAGTATCAAACGCAGCTAATAGCTACTGTTTACCTATTAGCAATTCAAAGAGGCTTGTTTGGGAGATCTTCCCAGCCAGCAGATGCTGGCTAAGGTGCACTGTGGGTCCTGATGACTGTCACCTGCTGAAGCTGGTAGGGGTGACAGAACTGCCTTGCCCCACAAGCAAGCACCCCCCAGTGACAGGGGATGCTAAGAGGGACATGTACATGTCTCAGCCACTCCAAATCCCTGCCTGGGACATCGGCACACATCCACCTTCACCTGTGGTCTCACTGAGCTGGTGTGGCTGCAGAGCAGTTGTCCACCGTGTCTTCCTTCCCTCCTGAGGGTGGGCAGCCTCCAGCCCTGCAGGACAGTCATGGGGACACCACCACCAGAAACTTCTCAGGGCTCGTCAGAGCTGTGCTAATCTACAGGCATTGCTGGCTTTAATATATCTGGAAGGTTTGTGCAAAGCACACAGGCAGCAGCCATGGATGTTCATGGCTCAACTTCCAGCTACTCAGCCAAAGGGACTACACTTATATTTTCTGGAAAGAAAATGAAAAAAAAAACAATGCTACTTGTATAAAAATCTTTAAAGCCACAACATTCCTCATAGGATAGATTCGTTTTAGGTATGACATAGTTCAGGGGGTCATCCCTGATAGCAGTAAGACCTGCAGAGACTATTTCCATGTTAATTTGCAACCTGCAAATATTCCTCTCAGCAGTCCACTCAGTTACAGCAGGAGGGCATTTAGTGTCTATTTAACTGCTACAAGTGAGCAAGAAAACCAATTGTCACCCAAATAATGGTGGCACACCGTAACAAAAGTGTCCTACTTTGAGATTATTCCTTAACACGTAACAGTTTTAAAAACCTCTTGTAACTCCAGTCAAGCTTGCACACATCAATTACGATTCATTAGCGACTTCGTTATTATCGCTCACATTTATTTTTATCCCTGTACCTTCTGCTAGACCATGTATAATTTACAGTTAAGTAGCCTTGTAAGGGGTTGTGGGCTCGATGGCAGACCCCCAGAGCTGTGCAGGGCGCAGAGGAGCAGGGCAGGAGCCGAGGGCCTACTCCTGCACCAGAGGCAGACCCGTGTCACCGCAGGCCGCCAGCACACAGCCTCTCAGCCGAGGACCAGGATCCACAAAGGCTTTGCCTCATTGCAGAGTTGAGTCAAATCTGGTCTGCTTTTGGTAGCATGTGGGCATAGAAGAACCGCCAGATTATTTACGGTGTGTGTGCAAACGCAGACAGGCTGCTTGGAAAGGCAGCGCGTCAGCGAGAGCAGAAGGTGGCCTGTGGTGCTAATTCCCCCTCTTCTTCCTGCTCAAGGGGCGGCTCCAGGGGAAGGGAATCATTTTTTTCCTCATTTCTGACAGGACTGCACCCCGGACCTGTACTCAGTGCTGTCCCAGCACACAAGGTCCACAGTCAGATGATAACGCCTCACACCTTCTCCTCCACAACTTCAGGAAAGGAGCTCCCAGCGCCGCCGCTGGCAAACAGGACACGTTCTTCTCTCTTCCTCCCACACACATAACCACACTGCATCCCTCCCCTACAGCCCGTGTACTCAATTCCCAGGTTTGGGGCTTTTCAGTCCCTGCCGGGCATTTCTCTGCAGCTTACCGTTGGGTCGGACAGGAGGGCTGCGAACCAAAGGGCTGGTGGATAAACTGGTTAGTACCATGGCTGCTGTTACTTTATCCATGTCCAGTTCTTCTGAAGATTTTCTGAAAAACAGTGAAGAGGAGGCAGGAAACATGTCAGCAAGTATATATAGATATGGTTTTTAGTATAACAGACCAAACCCTAAGAGGGCAAAGCCCAGTGACCACAGCAAACAAAGTTATCACAGAATCACAAAATTTCTAGGATTCTGTGATTTCTCCAAAAATCTTGAAGTTCTCCAGGTTTCTGTCTTCTGTCAAGCTGAGCACACCAAGTGGCTACTTAAGCACAACAGCGGGGTGTGAACAGGAAAAGGAGTGGAAAAAGAGAACACATCTTGACAGAAAGTTGCCAGGAGTACTGTGATAACTCCATTAGTTCAACTCCATTCCCTCTTCTCACAACTCCAGCTAGTCATATGCTAAAACCAAAGCGGGTGATTAAGGCGTTTTCTTGGATGAGGACAGAGATGCAAAAGCAGGTAATAGGACCAGTAACATTAACAACACCCATTGCTCTCTGTAGGGTGAGGAAGAACCGGGAACTAGAACAAAGGGACGGCATTATTTCTTTGTTGCTTCACTGTAATGCCCTTAACCCTCCTTTACTCTAATCCACAAGTTTTCCTGATGAGATTATTTACCAATTATTTAAAATCCACATACATACAAGTCATGTTCCCTTCAGCCTTTAGTTCCAAGCATCTATTCAGCCACGAGGTAAGGGTGAGGCTGCAGAAGAGGTGATGCTGAGAGGGGTGCTCTCCCACCCAGCCCACAGCCACCGGCAGCAGCTGAATTCATTCAACTTAGTAAATAGGCAGAAAATTGGTACAGGAGGAAAAATTAAAAAAAAAAAAAAATAAGGAGTTTTCTGCTGGTGAAATGGGCTGAGTCAGCCCAGTGAAGGCTCAGCACCAAGCACCCAAGCCAGCAGGACAGCACAGGGCGGCTGGGAAGCAGCCATACGCCGCCACTTTGATTCATACAGATAAGATCAACGTGTTCTGTGGGAAAAATATAAATAAATAAACAAACAAATAACTCAGGCGATAGAGAGGCGGAAGAGAGGGATCATGTTCATGCACTGCCTTGAAGGAAAGGCAGAGAAAGCTCCATACACGCTGGCAGCACCCATCCAGCCACAGCATCCACAGCCCCAGGGCACGGGGAAGGGGCAATAAGGGAGAGGGCAGGGAGAAGACAACCTGAAGACAAGGGGTGCCTTGGGAAACCAGGCTTCAGTAATCCATCACTCAAGGAGTAATTTTTTTTTTTTTTTTTTTAAACAAACTCCAAAAAAAATGCAGAATTTCTTTTGGCTGTAAGAACATATATACTACAATTCTTTTTTTCCCCAAAATACCGCTCTTCCTGAGGGGTTCAGCAGTACAAGGCACAGTTTCTGAAGAACAAATGTATCAGAACACAACCACGAAACCCACCAGGTTCAGCAGACTTTTGCTTTCCATCCTTTTGGGCCCGGGGGACACACGGACGAGTCACCAAGACCTCTGGAATGGCACGCATCGCTCCCAACACATCCAACTCACAAGCTGACACACTTCAGGTGCCGAGTTTATCCACTGACCTGCGTGCAGCTCTCCCAAACCAGCTGAAAGGCTCAGTTACTGGAAACTATGCTACAGTCAAAGCCTCTTGATATTTCAGTGAGCCTCAAACTGCTCCACAGAGCAGAGCATAGCTGCCTTCTGGCTGATTGATGCAAGGACCCACGTGGATGTCTACGAACACTTTCCCATGCTAACAGCTTAGCTCTCCTAAGTGTCTTTTGCAAGACATCAGCACCTGGAACTGGGACACTGATGATCTGTTCTGGTTATAGCCATAGAAATCCTCCTTTCATCCAGCCAAGGCTTTTGCAACGAGCACAGCAGCCATAGGGTCACCATCAGATCCTGGAAAAGGTCTTGGATACCCGCTATGATCCGCCAGTACCTGCATCCATCACCCATCAGTTCTTCTCATCTGCAGAGGAGCGTGCCACCTGGGACGCCAAATCCCTCTGGACACAGAAGCCTTCTCTGCAGAGACGACAGGGAGCAACTACATTTCCTGGAGACCAGTCCTGCCAGTTGGTTTTCCAATTCCCTAACGCCCCAGTATGGAAATCCTCTCCCTGAGAAGCGTTTTGCTGCTCTGCAGTCCACCCACGCAGCGCTCCCCCGACTGCCCCATCTCACTCATCCTGCTGCGGACGAACCAGTAATGTTTGCACTTCGGCACTTTATGGGGAAGGAACAATAACAGGTTCCTGATATGCTGGGAAAGCCAAACCCTGGAGTCTGCCATCAGCTTTCCACCAAGGCTGCTCTGTGTGTGTGGCAACGGGATTAACACGATCCTGCCCAGGCCTCTGCAGAGTTACCAAATCCCACAGCTGCAGTTGTTGCAAGGGCTTGCCAAGTTGGTGTCAAGATCTCAGGGCCTAAAGACCCAGAGCTAATCCCAGACACAAAGTTCCTCCAAGTGCTCTATAAATTTAACTTATTCAGGCTCTTCTGCGTTGATGCCTTTTTCTCCCCTGCAAGGACTCAAACTGTTGTGCTGAAAATCCACCCTTTGCTCTGGCCCCAAATTGTCAGCACGGGCACCTGTGTCCGTGTTTTTTTCCTCACCTGATCAACTTAACAGTTTTTCAGCATGGAGAGCCCAAGGAGATAAAACTTCGTTTTCTTTTTCTCTGCCCATTTCGAATCCTTGCTGCTCCTTGGGTGCCCCCTGGGATTCCACACTCGTACTTCCCAGCCGCAGGAATTCCAGCAGCTCCAAGCGCTGCCCGATGTGAATCTGCTCCCAACACATTTCTGCAGTTCAGCTCCTGAACGTAAACACACGTATTTCGTGCATCATTCAGCCAGCACCGCTGCAGGAACAGCAGCCTTCGAGAGAGAGGCAAAGCATAAAACCAAAGACAGGAACCGCTTCAGCCATCTGCATTCAGTCACAAACACACGCGGGTCAAAGCCTTCAGACTGCCCCCATCTCTTCCAGCTTTTCGTGCTGGGAAGCTGAATGTGCACGCAGCTGTCTGACGGTGCTTGTACTCAGAGGGGGAGGATAACTTGTCCATTACCAACCGATTGTTCACAAGCCATTTATTCCACTATCGCTCATGCCAATTTCTGCAGACCGAAGTCATAAACCCTGGCACTGCTCACAGTTATTAGGCGCAATGAAATCTTAATCAGCTGTAAAATCGTCTACTGCACCAGCTACAAAGATTTCTTCTTTCCCAGTTCTCAGACACACTCTCCCAGCTTCTGGATGGGGAAGTTCACGTCAGCCCAGCCTGCACTCGAGACCAAACAGTTTGGGATCCTTTATTTCCAACTCTTCATATTTGTAGCAATGCCCAGAATCCCCAGAGTGTTTTGTAAATCCAAATACAAGCCAACAGCTGAATTTTAATAAACTGGCTTAGATATAACTCATGGATGTTAGATGACCTCGGTGACAGACCTCTTACCACTGCCCTGTGTCTCTTGGCTTGAGGGTTTCCCAATTCCACAGCAGTTTCAGTTGGTCCCTGTAATACTCCATACCTGGCCAGCCTGGTATTTAAATTAGTCCTTTTCTTTCATAGCCAAGCTCAAATTAAAAGTAGATATTACCCTCACTCATTCAAACCACTCATGCAGAAAGTCCTTGTCCAAGTCTCTGCAGATTGCCTCTGACTGCTGGCCTTGACCAGCCCCTGATGGGACTTTTCCTCTGGCAGTATCTCCTGCAGCATCACCCCAAACACAGGCACCATCTGTAGCCCCTTGTAAGCCTTCATTTGTGTTTTAACATTGAGCTGACCAACCTGAGCCCCCGAGGGAGGCATGCCCCTTTGCTTTTACGTTTTGTGATTTGGGATGCTCTGACTTGTCCTCTCAAAAAGCCCACGAGGGCTGCTATCAGCCAGGTAGAAAGCAGATACAACCCCGAGCTCCTGCTGTCTCACTCCCACAGCCCGTGGTTCCTCGTGGGGCTGAATTCCCAGGCTGAGCTCTTGGTGCAGCTCCTCACAACTTGCTGCCCCCTCAAAGTCCTCCCGATCTCCTCAGCCCACCTTCATCTTCGCAGGTGTCTGCTCTGCTCCTGCCACACCTGTACCCCTCGGTTCTGCCCTCGATTCACCACAATACCATCTGCAGCTGGAGCTCCCCCTCCTTATTATCTCTTAATCCTCTCTCAAAAACAAACAAACAAACATTAAAAATCTGTAGTGAATTTTAGTGTTAAAGCCTCTCCGATCTACCTTTGATTTTCTTCAAGCAACCTTTACTATTTGTCTGGCTTAGATCAAAACCCCGCAACTCTTCCTCTTGGACAGACTGCATCGTAGGCCTGGTACTTTACCCAAGCAGATTTTCCCTGTATAGCAGAAAAATTGGTAACGTTAGCAGGTGTTTTTGATAAAACTGACCTTACTTAAAAGGGAAAAAAAAAACACTCTCCTATTTCACCATAGAGAAAAGAAAAAATAAAATCAAAACAGACAGAGACTTTCCCTGCCCACAACTCCAAACCCTTGGCTAACTCCCAGACCTGCTACCTCCACCTCATGTGCAGCAATGCTCAAATCGAGACACGGGCTCGCTGTCTGGGCAGGGAAAGAGCAGTGATAGGCAGGAGCTCCAGCACATGGACACCAGCCCCTGCAGAAGGGAAGGGTATTTCTAATTGCTTTAGGTGAAAGCTGGCTGCAGAAGCTGGTGGTCATCCAGCTCTGCTGAACTTGTCTTTCTTTATTCTACTTTCTAAGCATCACCCATATAGCCAAAACATTCAGATTTACCAAAAGGCTTACAATTTGCTTTGTTTTGGCAGAGACTTGCACTTACCTGTTTCTTACCACTATCCTCACTAGCAGGACACAGTAAAAAAAAAAAAACACAGAAAAGTCTTGCTGTCACCACCTGATTATAAGCATGTCACATCAAGGTGAGCACTGCAGCAATACTGATTGATAAACATGTTGTTGTTGGCTTTTTTTTGTACAGCAAAAATGTGATTAATCGTATAATGAAAGCTGTAAACAGTACTAGTCATAG